TGCCCTTGACCAGGATCGAACCTGGGACCCTTCAGTCCACGGGCCGACGCTCTATCCACTGAGCCAAACCGGCGGAAGCTAGTCCGGTTTTTACTGTGTCCTCCCAGGCGCCAGGCCCCGATCCAGGCACTGGGGGTGCAGTGGCGGACTGACTGGCCGGACACACACTCGTGCCCCCACGGTGTTTCCATTCCTGGGGGCGAGACAGATACTAAGCAAGGACCCAAGCATGAGTTCAACCTGTGGCCTATGCTCCGTAGAAAATGAAGCAGTCATGTGACCCAGAGATCGGGAGGGGTCACCGTTGTCGACGAGAAACCACCGGGCATTAGTTGAGGCGGGAGACACAGATCTCATTCAGCGACTCCTGTCCGCAGGGAAGAGCCGGGCTCAAGGGGAAGCCACAAAGGGTTGGTCCGTGTGGATGCGGCCAGGCCAGTGGGGCCTGCCGCCGGCCGCTGTTGAAATTGGGATTCTGTCCTCCCACGGAGACGGGGGCCGAGGCCCTGGCCACCCTGGTGATTGCGCTGCCAGAGCATGGCCTCCGGTCCTTGAGAAAGACGCCCTGAGGTTAGGGGGCTCACAGATGCTTCTCAGAGGCTCAGAGGACATGTGCGAGTACAGCCCCTCGTAGTGAAGGCTCTGAGAGTGCAGCTTCGGATGGAGCAGCCGTACCCCCAGTCTGCCATGCCCACAGCCAGAACCGGGGTCCTCAGCTACCACTGGAGCCGGGACCCGAAAGGGAAGGAGGGAGCCAGGGGAGTTCTGGGGTGAGAGCATCCCAGGAAGAGGGGCAGCAGGTGCAAAGGCCGGAGCAGGTTCACAGCCGAGTCCAAAGGCCAGTGTGTCGCCCTCGCCGGTTTGGTGCAGTGGTTAGAGTGTCGGTCTGTGGACTGAAGGGTCCCAGGTTCGATTCCGATCAAGGGCACATGCCTGGGCTGTGGGCTTGGTCCCTACTGGGGGGCGTGAGGGAGGCAGCCGATCAATGATTCTCTCTCATCATTGATATTTCTATCTCCCCCTCCCTTCCTCTCTCTGCTATCAAATTTTTAAAAAACATATCTTAAAAAAATTAATAGATTTGAAATTTTAGTCTCCTTTTCATTTATTTCCACTCCAATCTTTATTATTTCCTTCTTTCTACTTCCTTTGGATTTTGTGTTCTTTTTAAATTTTATTTATTTATTTATTTTTAAAACTATAGTGTTTTTTTAAATATATATTTTTATGGCAGCCGATCAATGATTCTCTCTCATCATTGATATTTCTATCTCCCCCTCCCTTCCTCTCTCTGCTATCAATTTTTTAAAAAAACATATTTTTAAAAAATTAATAGATTTGAAATTTTAGAGCAGTTTTAGGTCTCAAGAAAATGGAGCAGAAAATATAGAGAATTCCCATATTATTATGGCACATTGGACAATTGACAAGCCAATATTAATGCATTCTTACTAACTAGGGTCCGTGGTTTAAATTGGAGATCACCGTTGTGTTGCTGATGGAGTCCACAGCTCAGGCGTGTGCTCCGACCCAGACCAAACCGGCGGCCCATCCGTGCGGGGACAGCGCCCAGCCACCTGGGCCCCACCAGCCAGGGCCGTTTCGGGTTTGAGAGCCCCCATGTACTTGACTCCCGTCTCCCCATGGGTCGGTTAATTTGTTAGGCTGGTATTTATTTATTTTTTTAATCCTCACGTGAGGATGTTTTTCCATTGATTTTTAGAGAGACTGGAAAGGAGGAGAGACAGACAGCTGGAAAGGGCTTGGGGGTGCCCAGGGGGCTCCCCCAGACCATCAGCTTCATAGACTGGGGCATTTCGTTTTTTGTTTTTAATGTTTATGTTTCTTTTCAGAGAGAGAGGAATGGAGAGGGAGAGAGAGAGAAACATTGATGTGAGAGAGAAACCGGTCGGCTGCCTCCTGCACGCCCCCTCCAGGGATCTATCCACTGAGCCAAACCGGTTAGGGCTTGTGTTCTTTTTTAAAACAGCTGCATAGTATTCCAGCGTATGAGTTTTATAATATTTTACTTAATAAGTAATGTATTCCATTTCCTGTTGATGGACACCTGAGTAGGTTTTTTGGTCCTTGTGGGCTTTTTGCAGTAACGCACTGTGGATCACGCACAACCTGTGCCTGCGCCCTGGGCCTGGGCACGCTGCTCTGCAGGGAAACTTCCCTGGGGGGTTCGCTGGCAGGAGGGTTGTGCACTGTAGTTGGGTCTCACAGACCTGCTCAGTACCAACTGAGAGACAGAGACGTGCGCCCTGCAGCCTCATTCCTGGAGCGATAGGGGTCCCCCAGGGAGATGGGGGTGCCTGTTTCCCCACGGCCACACCAGCACAGTGGACTAGCAAACATTTGGATTCTTGCCAAATTAATGGGCGAAAATTATTATCTTGGTGCCATTTGCATGTCATTGTAATTTGCATGCCTCTCAACGAACAGGAGGGAGAGCACCCTTTTGTGAGTTTGTCTGTTTGTTTACTGGGGCAGATGGGGAGACCACCCACCAAGGCTGAGGTCGGAGGACAGAGCAGGAAGGCCAGGTGGGGCCCACCTGTCACTCACCGGGCTCCCCCTGCTGCTGGGCACTGAGCCTGTCCCCAGATGGAGTCCACAGCTCAGGCGTGTGCTCCGACCCAGATCAAACGGACGGCCTATCCGTGCGGGGACAGCGCCCAGCCACCTGGGCCCACCAGCCAGGGCCTTTTCGGGTTTGAGAGGCCCCATGTACTTGACCCTTATCTCCCCATGGGTCGGTTAATTTGTTAGGCCAGTATTTATTTATTTTTTTAATCCTCACCTGAGGATGTTTTTCCATAGATTTTTAGAGAGACTGGAAATGAGGAGAGACAGAGAGAGAGAAACGTTGATGTGAGAGAAACACATCAATTGGTTGCCTCCTGCATGCGCCCCAACCACGGCCGGGGATCGAGTCTGCAGCTGGAGTACCTGCCCTTGACCAGGATCGAACCTGGGACCCTTCAGTCCACGGGCCGACGCTCTATCCACTGAGCCAAACCGGCGGAAGCTAGTCCGGTTTTTACTGTGTCCTCCCAGGCGCCAGGCCCCGATCCAGGCACTGGGGGTGCAGTGGCGGACTGACTGGCCGGACACACACTCGTGCCCCCACGGTGTTTCCATTCCTGGGGGCGAGACAGATACTAAGCAAGGACCCAAGCATGAGTTCAACCTGTGGCCCATGCTCCGTAGAAAATGGAACAGTCATGTGACCCAGAGATCGGGAGGGGTCACCATTGTCGAAGAGAAACTGCCAGGCAGTAGTTGAGGCGGGAGACACAGATTTCATGCAGCGACTCCTGTCCGCAGGGAAGAGCCGGGCTCAAGGGGAAGCCACAAAGGGTTGGTCCGTGTGGATGCGGCCAGGCCAGTGGGGCCTGCCGCCGGCCGCTGTTGAAATTGGGATTCTGTCCTCCCACGGAGACGGGGGCCGAGGCCCTGGCCACCCTGGTGATTGCGCTGCCAGAGCATGGCCTCCGGTCCTTGAGAAAGACGCCCTGAGGTTAGGGGGCTCACAGATGCTTCTCAGAGGCTCAGAGGACATGTGCGAGTACAGCCCCTCGTAGTGAAGGCTCTGAGAGTGCAGCTTCGGATGGAGCAGCCGTACCCCCAGTCTGCCATGCCCACAGCCAGAACCGGGGTCCTCAGCTACCACTGGAGCCGGGACCCGAAAGGGAAGGAGGGAGCCAGGGGAGTTCTGGGGTGAGAGCATCCCAGGAAGAGGGGCAGCAGGTGCAAAGGCCGGAGCAGGTTCACAGCCGAGTCCAAAGGCCAGTGTGTCGCCCTCGCCGGTTTGGTGCAGTGGTTAGAGTGTCGGTCTGTGGACTGAAGGGTCCCAGGTTCGATTCCGATCAAGGGCACATGCCCGTGTTGTTGGCTTGGTCCCTACTGGGGGGCGTGAGGGAGGCAGCCGATCAATGATTCTCTCTCATCATTGATATTTCTATCTCCCCCTCCCTTCCTCTCTCTGCTATCAATTTTTTAAAAAAACATATTTTTAAAAAATTAATAGATTTGAAATTTTAGAGCAGTTTTAGGTCTCAAGAAAATGGAGCAGAAAATATAGAGAATTCCCATATTATTATGGCACATTGGACAATTGACAAGCCAATATTAATGCATTCTTACTAACTAGGGTCCGTGGTTTAAATTGGAGATCACCGTTGTGTTGCTCATTCTGTGGGTTTGACAAATGGAGAATGTTGTGTGTCTGCCATCATAGACAGAGTTTGGGTTTTATCCTAAGTGGGACAAGGAGCCAGTGGAGGGCGTGGAGCCGGAGTTCAACAAGAACTGATTGGACACGTTAACCAGTGTGGGGAATGGAACAGGAGGCGGGATGCGGGGGAGGTGGAGGGACGGAGCAGAGCGAGATAACTGGGGAGACAGCGTCCACAGGACTCGCTCTGAGTTGGATTCGGGCCACGAGGGAAGTTGAGGAACGGAGGGTGATGGTTTCGTTGGCATGAGCTCTGGGGCAGATGGGGAGACCACCCACCAAGGCTGAGGTTGGAGGACGGAGCAGGAAGGCCAGGTGGGGCCCACCTGTCCCTCACCGGGCTCCCCCTGCTGCTGGGCGCTGAGCCTGTCCCTGGGGAACAAAAGCCCAGAAGCAGGTCTTGCGCAAGTCCTGGCTTTTCAGATGAACCCAGCTCGCGAGGAGGTGGTAGAGCTGGGATCCAGGCGGGTGGGGCGGTCGGGGTCCGGGAGGAGGAGGGATGAGGCGGGTGGTGGGTGGCCAGCCGGCCTCCTGTCTCCCCAGATCCAGCGCCCATCCACGG